TGCATAGATAGTTGCTCTAGCTTCCTTCCCTCTCTCTCACTTTCTATTAAGGAAGTACAGCAAACCAAGTTTAAGTGGTTCATTATTGTAGCCAACATAAACCAGCTCTTTAGTGGAGTCAGGTACCCATCTAGCCCGCCCACACGAGTAATTAGAAGGAGAATCAATAACAGTGCATTCCTCAGTCTTAATATCCAATACAACAATGATAGGATTAATGACTGTTGTCAACAGCTCTCCCCAGCTCTGGCGGTATACATATTCAGTGCCCTGTCGATAGAATATGTATCATTAATCAAATTAATAATAATCAAAAGATCTTGTGGATTTTCATTACCATTTCTTTAGGTTCAGATCCTTTGTCTTCATCTCCTATACAGTGTATGACAGAAAGAGATAACTATTTCAAATGCAACCACAATTAAGTCAGTAGTTTAACTAGTTTTATTATAACTGCCAATAAATGTACTAACATTAAAGATCATTTTGGCTCAGTATAACATACCATTGTTCTTCTTGAAGTAAGGAATGCTGTCTGGGACCTTCTTCTCAGCAACATAGAGCAGCTTTGAGCCATCAGAGGACAACTGGAAGCTTGAGAATTGATCTAAAAAATTAATACGAAAATTGATGTGTTAAAGTAACCACAAAAATTTGTCCTAGATTTTCCCACATGCGTCATTTTAGCACATTCCGACACAATAAAGTGTGTCTAATTAATAAGTTTTTGTGTAGCTACAACACACTTTATGTGCTATGATTTGGGACAGCAAATATGTCAGTGCCATATTTTAACACAATAGACCCTATAGGGCGCTAACTTATATTCGTAATCTTCTGTGTACTATCCACATTCTTTAATAAAAAATTTTGAAATTCTTCTGCTGGATGGCAAAACCAATGGACAGGAGGCCAAAAGCAGCCTGTCACTTCAAGTGCAATAAAGATTTTTCTCAAGAGAAATTCTGGGCTCTATTCTTTGCTGTTACTGGCATTTATTGCCACTCAGGCAAGCTCTGGAAGCCACAAAGGCCTCTTGTCCCTCGTTTCCCCATGTAGCTACACTGTATCTTGCCGTCCAAATCATGAGTGTGGGTGGATACTGTAATGCAATAATTACTTGTAGAAATTAGCGCCCTACAGGGTCTATAGTTTTTTCAAGAGTAGATAATATTTAATATTATCTACTCTTGGTTTTTGTTTGACAACATGCACAACAGTAATTACTTTAATAAAAATTAACTTGCCATTATCATTAATTTTGCCGTGTTTCTTTCCAAACTGCTCTTTGACAATGAAACATTTTATCAAACTATTTGAGTCCCAGATCTAAAGTAATAACAGCAACAATGATAATAATAATAATAACAAGAACACTATATATATAACTTCTAATTTCCAAAACAATTCAATAATTGCTTACTTCTATAAACTGCTGTGGTTCAGCCCCAGACTCCATCTTTGACAATTTTCCTTTCATGAGTACAGCTCTGAACTTCCCACAAGTGGAATAACTTTCTAACAAACTGCAAATTGCAAAAAATTGATTAAAAATAGAAATATGCAATTAAAGTCATTATTACATATGCAGTTAAAATGGTAATTAATAACAACTGAGTGATAATCATGTATGAATTGATATACTGTATAGCTAGAAATTGAATTGATATACCGTATATATAGCTAGAAATTTCTGTGGCCAAAAATTTTTTGCGAATTTGAAGAAAATCGCAAAAAAATTAAATCCTCAAAAAATAGGTAAATTAAAAGGTGTGGCTTACAAAGAATTTTCTCAGTGTAATTATAGCTCGAATTATAGTGAAGCCCATGGCGTCAGTTTTCCTGGCACTGTTCCAGTATTTTAAGCACAGTCAAAGAGTAATCCTATCTTGCCTAATATCCTCATAGAGCTTTGTGTCATCATCAGCTATAGTTCAGGTAAGTAGTGAAGAGCAGCCATTGATCAGCAGACAGCAGTGTGATCAAGTGAATTCGCAAAAATAAAATCCGCAAAAGCAATTTTTTTTGGCAATTCCCAGAAATTTTTGGCCGCAGAAATTTTTGGCCACAGAAATTTCTAGCCGCTATACGGTAACAAAACTCTATGGTGTCACAAATTCCAAGTCTTACACTGATGTAGCATCATGTTGAAAGCTGTTACTACTGAGTAGAGAGAGCTTTTTTAAGCCAGCGGGAACCCTGCGGACCAGGTAAGACTTGGCAAAACTAACTTTATTTCCTCTTTCAAGATCTTTTTGACTCCATTTTATTTCAATCTCATACAGCTCATCTCCTGAGCGGAATATGCGACCTCCAGTAGCAACTGGTATCTGTGCAATCTCTCTGTATAGCTGACGGGCTTTCTCTTGGATAGCAGCCATCATCAAGAAATTAATTGCATTATAGATATTATACGTACATAGATTGGAACATTAAAGTATCTATGATTGGAAACATCACAGGAAGCCAATATTAAAAACTCCTGAAACATCACTTCCTGTTAGTCTCGGGAGATGGCGGCTAGGAATTGGTAGTTATCGTCAGTTAGTGTTTTACCTTGGCCAGATCTGGATCCAATTGTTGCTTCACTGTATTTCCCAGGTAACTAGTATTGTATTAAAAAGCTAAGTATATGAATTGCGTGCTATCATCTCCCACAATACTCACAAAGATGTAAATTTATGTCTTATAACACCTTGTGGGCACATTTTCTTAAAAAATAGCCATAGAATTACTTTGAATTTTTGAATAGATGTGATCTGTATGAGTATGCATGTACTAAACTTGGCATTTTGATTAAATAAGGAAGGGTTTTAAAGTTATTAGCTTTTTAATGTTTGTTACGTGTACCCGACGGTGGGCACATTTTAGGCCAATCAAGTGTATATGATGAATATTTCTTGATTCAGATATAATGTTTAAGAGTGTACTTGTGTACTAGTGGTGTCATTTTGTTCAATAGATGTCTTCAAATAGGAGAAATTATGAAGCGAATTGGAAGGAGATAGGAGGTTAAAATTAATGAAGATGGTGTTTCACTGACAATTGAAGTAAGTCCATTAGCGACAGTAAGTTGATCATATACTAAAAATTATTATGTATTGATTTATGTTTTACTAGGATCAATTTCATGTGTTATATGGTTTAATGGTGTGAATAAAATAACATGTTTTGCACTGTCTACCATATTGAGAAAACCAAGAGCATGAGCCATCAGCAGACTGTAATCATCATTAATAATTGGATCTACTTGTTTGTGGCCTTGTCATCAAGGAATTCTATTAAGTCATCAACAATACCTCAGTAATATTAATAATACATATTTATTTTTATTAATAATTAAATTTTAAATATTATTGGTATGTATTTTCTCTCTTTTATATTTCCTCTCCTTTGTTTCCTTCACCTTTGGAGTATAAATTAAAATTCTCATGTCGAGAATACTTCCAGAACAGTCTTAAAAGTACTTGCTTAATGCTTCAGCCTTCAAGTAATACTGTCACATTTTTCCATGTGGGTAATGATGTCACTTCCTGTGAAAAGAGCATGTGACCATCCGGTCTTGCCCTGTTTCCAAATTCCAATCCATGTACGTATAATATCTATGATTGCACTGTGCACTCATGGTGATGTAATGCTATGCCAACAAAATTAATGAACGTGGGTTTTGCAAGGCGTGGATTTTTGCACTTTGCAGTGTAAACCGGCCTTCAATCTTTTCTTGGTTACACAGCCAAAAATTATCATCTCTGATACAGGCCACTACCCAAAAATCAATGATTCAAGCCTGATGTATATTTTAGTACAGCCCTGACTGGCATCAATGTTGACTCATGTCTGTTGCTCTGGCTGAGCATGCACGGCTGTACTCAAGCATGGTTGTATCATGGATGGTTATCATGATTGTATCATACTAGACTCATTGCTTTGCAGGCTGCCCAAAATCCATTATACAGGGATGTATCAAGGCTGATCCTGATTGATATCAGTCACGATTCCAAGTAAAACTCTTGGCTGTGTATACACTAAACTATAGTTCACCACTCCAGAGGTTTGTGAACACAAGTTCACAAACTCAGGGAGTGGTTGGGGTATAATGTGCTGATCTTCCTCAAGGCCTATATCATTCGTGGGTATAGGGTCAGAACATCATACTTTTAAAAGTTACTTATTGTCCAATCATAATGTCTTCAACTAAGAGTTCTCCGGCTTTAGGTACTTTGCACTGGAAAGGAGCTATGTCATCTCTGTACAGTGCCGCTCTAGAGCCATTTTTGCTATTCATAAAAACTAGCCAGTTACCGAATGTCCAGTCATATAATCATTACTTTTTTATTCTATTGTATTTCAAGGGACTCTAAAGCCAGAGTATTCAGGGCTAGTTTCAGTTTCTCTTCATCTTGGGAACGGTGAAGATGACAAACCTGCCATTGTTGTTGTACTAGGTTGTAACTGATAATACTTTGCCTTCTCTCTTTAATCAAAGGACAACAGAACTCAACCCTTGGTATTTAAAAAGTCTAACTTACTGGCTAACAGCGTATAACTTTAAAATTAAAATAATAATTTTTTGCAAATGATTGACCACGTGAACGCACGTGGCTTTAGTATACGGAGTATTAAACGGAGACCTCGTGCTTTGTTTTTGTTTTCCCTAGTGATTTTCTTCTCTGGGAGGCAATGATGTGGAGTTTTGTGAAAGAACTTGTTTGGGGAGGAACAGAAGAAGTTGAAAATGAAGGCGATAATCATAAAGTTTTGGTTGATAGAGAGAAAGAAAACAGTCGCCATTTTACTGGTCGTGTCACTCAATATGATAGAACTACATCCTCTGGAATGATTGATAATATTATATACTTTGATCAGTCTGTGATTATGGGAGGAATGAAACCAAAAGTAATAATATTTTTATAATTTAAAACAATTAATTAAAGCAAAGGTTTTGAAATTTAAAATAATTACAAAGTATGGACTATAATACAGTATACAGGTCTACGGGGTATTTTTTAATTTGCATGGCCATAACTTTAGAAATTTTTGTCAGAATTAGCTCAAACGTTTTACATAGCATAAGGACATCAATATTTATTAGAAAATGTAATAAAAATTGTGGTGATTTTGGAGCAATTTTTTTTAGAGAACCATGGGCTATAGCTTTTGCTTTTTTCAAAAATTGTCTTATAGCGTAAGGACATCAATATGTATTAGAAAATGTAATAAAAATTGGCAATGATTTTGGAGCCATTTTTAGAAAAAAGCAATGACTATAGCTATTTTTAGATTGGTGTCAGTGCTCATGTTGAAGCTACAAGACAACACTCACTTGCTGCATGGAAAGCAACAAAGGTAACTTACCATTATAATTATCAGGAACCCTCTTCCTCTAATCAGGTACAGCTAATCAACCAATGGCAACCAGAGGCAGACACTGGCTCACGGAATATAGTTGGACACGTGACAGAGGAAGGAAGGACCAGCTACATAATCTACTGCACTAACAATGAGGAAATAACACTGCAACGGAGCTCCATTCCAAGCACATCTGATTACTGCCCACGTAATGGAGACTGGGTCATGCTAAGTATAGTGGAACAAGTTGGAGGGAGTGACAAAGAAGGAGAGAGCAGTAGGATAGAGATAACTGATGTGAAACCATTGAGGAGGAAAGAAGTAACAGCAACTATAGAATATTATACTGGTAAGCTTTGTAATTTTTAAAAATACAATATTTTATTTTAATTTTTATACTGTCACTCTTCCTCTTTCTTGTCTTAAGGTCGTATTGGGATGATAGAGGGTGACATTGGTTTTAATCTAAGTGTATATCAAGGGGGTGGTGCTCCTTGTGTTGGCGATACTGTAATAGTCGAATGTGTTGAGTGCAAACATGCCAGGATGAGCTGGAGAGCTATAAAGGTTAAACCAATCAATCACCAGTCAACAAAAATGTAAGAAAGAGAGTCTTTTTCTAATTTAAGCCTTGTAATTTAATGTATTTTAGACTTTTAGTACATTGTACTGCATCACTGTTGTGCTATTTTTAGATATAACTAGTATATTACTGCTTTTTGTTCTTTTCTCCTTTCTCTCTCCTTCTCTCAGCTCCTCTGATGGTGGGCAGCCATTTTCTTCTTCAGCACAACATGCACTCAAGCAAGAGGAAAAGTTTAGCATTTTAGTGTCGGGGCAAGGAGAATTTGGAGATGTAGAGTTGAATAAAAAGCGTTCGACCATTTTTACAATTAGGTAAGAGAAAGAGACATAGAGGATGACAGAGCTGTTTTTTTAAATGCATAAAATGTATGCTTTCTTTGTCATTTTTGAAAAGCAGTAAAACATGGATACATGTGCACATAGAGACATGCATGTTTCGTCATTTAGAATTATTAACTGTATTTTGTAGTAACCATGGCAGCACTAGCCACACCCTCATCTCATGTGCCCCAGTGTCTTTAAAGGATCAGTTATTAGTGAAAATAATTAATATTAATAATAATAGTAAGGAGAAGGTGGAGGAGGAGGGAGTTGAGATAAAGTCCGGTCATGCATTAGAAGTATCAGTGGAGCTTATATCAAAGTAAAGAGTTGTTATTATTATTATTATTATTATCATTGTTGTTGTTGTTTTTAGGGTTTTAGGTCGTCTTGTTACAGTCCTAGTTTTCAATTTTGGAAGCTTTAAAATAAATCAATCAATTTATGCAAACGTGATTGATGAAAGCATGTACTTATTGGAACCAACACAAGCTTACGTGGTACATGTACATGTACATGTACAAGGATAAAGGATACATGTAATTTAACATGCTCCTCTCTCTCCCTTTTTTCTTTCCTTTTCTCTCTCTCTCAGTCTTCTTCCCAGAGAAGATCAGGTATGAATCCTGCCTATCATGACAGGCTCAAAGCAGCAAGCTCTGCTCCTGGTCAACGCCCCAAAAGGTAACTAAATTCAAATATGCTCTGATTTCTAAAATTCAGCTATTTTAGGAGAGCAATGGTCCGTCTACCGAACAAACTAAAGCAGTTTCCTATCCCCACCAGTGTGAGAGAGTTCTTTGAATTAGATACAGATGTTAGCCTGTTGTGTCCGAAGCTTCTTGAGCCTTTAAGCTGGAGCAGCTACGAAGAGTGTTTCTCGATCCTTTTACACACCGAGGAGTTGCAGATGGAAATTAATATGCAGGAATTTGACATTCCCATGGTAGCAGCTTAAATAAGCCTTACTCCTTATTATCATGGATATTACATATACCAAACCGTATGTATTATCTGTGTTATTATCCTGGTCTGTTTTGTGTGCCTAGGCTTCAATGATTCAACGTGGTCAGTATCTTACACTTGAAGTACCAGGACTAGCCGAAGGGCGGCCATCTTTATTAGTAGGAGATATTGTGATTGCTTGTGAACCTGGTAAGGGAATGAGCTAGTGTATGCTTCAATAGTGTAGACTACATGTATTAATATTTATTATTTTATTGTGTGTGTGTGTGCATTAGGGAGAGATAAAAAATCAGAACCTTATGAAGGATTTATTCATGAAGTAAGGAAAAGAGAGAGACAGAGAGAGGGAGGGGGAGGAAGAAAGAGTTCACTCAGTTTTCCATCCTCCAGGTTCATGGTCGGGAAATACTATTAAAGTTTTCTGAAAGGTTTCATGAAAGATTTCATAATGAGGACTATGACATCATGTTCACATTCAACAGGTAAATATTTATAACTATTAATAACTATTAATTATTGTTATAATAATAGGACTCCAATGAGAAGAATGCATCAATCATTAGCTCTGGTCCCTGTATTAGGACAGAAAAGTACATACAGATACAATGTACATGCATACCTACCAATCCACATTTCATTATGTGTAGCTATAATCTTGGTGTTTTTCATGGGCTCTGAACATTGCTTGATTTGATCTGCTGTTTTTACGAAATGGTTCAACAATTTAGATTAAAATGATTGCTATGTTAAATAACTAATTAAAATTTGTATCATCCTTTTAAAAATTTTGTTGTTCAAACATGCATAGAATATAGTTGGATAATGGAGCAAATTGGCTTGAAAATATCCAATGTTTGACTGTTATAGGCTCTGGTTTAGCATTTAAAATTTGCTAAAATCAGTACACTGTTCATGTAACTCTCTTATTCTCTAGTTCTCTTTCCCCACTCCCCCTCTCCCCTTCCTCCCCTCCTTCGTCTCCCTCCCTCCCCCTCCTACTTTAACCCTCAACTCAACGAGAGACAGAGAGCAGCAGTAGGGAGGATACTGGGGGCTCAGGGTAGGCCTGCACCGTATGTGGTGTTTGGTCCGCCTGGTACTGGAAAGACAGTGACAGTTGTAGAGGCTATACTGCAAGTGTATTCACTGAGTACTGGTAACTGTAGGATATTGGCATCAGCTCCTTCTAATAGTGCTGCTGATCTTATAGTAAGGATTATAGGGGGAGGTTTAGTGAATGGAGAGAGAAAGAGCAACTTATAGTACATGTAATGATTTGAATTGGCAAAGTCTTAAATTGCTGTAATATTTGGCCATTAAAGACCATGGACTATTATAGTACAGTACTGGTCATCAAAAATGATGAGGAGATAATTTGCCATTTTTATAATTTTTCCTGATGCGTATACATGTTCTTATGTTGTGTAGAAATTTTGAGCTCGTTCCAATCAAAATTGAATTTTTTATGAATTTTTTAAGTTGCTCAAAAATCAGGCAAAAGACCCTGTACTATAGTACAGGGTAACTGGCCAAATTTCATCAAAAATGACTAGGAGAGAATTCTCCATTTTTACAATTTTCTCTGATGCATATACATGTTCTTATGTTGTGTAGAAAGTTTGGACACATTCCAATTAAAATTGAATTTTTTATTAATTTTTAAATTGTTCAAAAATCGGCCAAAAGACCCTGTATTTGCTATAGTACAGGGAATTTTATAAAAAATGACTAGGGAATTCTTCATTTCTATAATTTTTCTGATGTATATATACATGTACATATGTGTAGAGTTTGATTTTTACAAATTTTTAAAAAACTTTGCCGCAATAGCAGTACATAATTAATATAATATGCATGTGATTGTGTTTGTAGGCAGAACGATTGCTATTGATGGGTAAGCTAGAGTCTGGTGTCCTGGTACGACTGAATGCTTATCAGCGCTCACAAAAACCACCCGAGATACTTGGACCTCATTGCATGGACGTATCTGATGCAGAAATGGCAGCTAGACACAAGTACATAAGAGGAAGGGATAAAAATAACATTGATCTTTGTTGTGTATACCGTATAGCGCTTTAATTTGGTGGTGTTTTATTTTGGCGATTGGTGGTTTGCAAGCAAAATTACCAATATTAAAACCGCCAATCATTAATGCACATGCTCAGTAATGCACGTGTACACAAAAGATCACCAAATTAAAAACTGCCAATTATAATTTTAGAGCGAAATCACCGAAATAAAGCGCTATACAGTATATTTCTTTCTTAGAATAATAGTATGTACTTGTGTGACTGCTGGTATACTGTACTCATTGAGTCTCCCTGTGGGTCACTTTACTCACGTCTTTATTGATGAGGCTGGCCAGGCCACAGAACCAGAGGCTCTCATACCTCTAGGACTACTGGCAGGGACTGAAAGACAAGTATGTATGAATTAATGATTGTAGTGGCACTTAGTGTATAAGTGGGGGTTTTTAGCATTGCAAATTTCATGGATTTTTGTTCCTGATTTGCAAAAATAACATCTATAAAAATCATATTAATCAGGTGCATGTACCCACATGGTAGAATTTGCAAAATTAAAATCTGCAGATTGGAAATTTAGTAGATTTCATGAAATATAATTTCTTCGAAAAAACCCACTTATACTGTACTATTGGTGGTTTTTTAAGTGAATGGTTTTATGTACAGGTATGCATTGCCATGGGCTATGCTTTTACAATTGGCAGTTTTAATATTTTAATTATTATCAATTTTAATTTCAAACCACTCAATAATTGGCAAAATGAAGATCCTTCAAATTAGAGTAGCAGACACTTACATGTATCTTTTATTATCTTCTTCTTGTAATTGTATATTCATTATTTATTAGGTTGTTTTGGCGGGTGATCCCTATCAGTTGGGTCCTGTGCTACAGTCAAAGACAGCTGGGTCTCATGGACTGGGTGTGTCCTTACTCGAGAGAATAATGAACAGGTCGGCCTACCAGAGGGACACCGAGAAATTCACTGATCACGGCTGCTATGATCCATTACTGGTCAGTATTGCTTTAGTTATAATAAAAATTTGTAATTATTTGTCTGCGGATTTTAATTTGCATAATTTTTAAAATTTTATTGCCATTTTAATCAATTTCCATGGATTTATTTTTGTGAAATTATAAAAAATGACAAAACTTTTATGAATATTTGTTTCTTGTTGTACAGCACGTGTTTATTTGACGTTTTTATTTATTTTTAGGTAACAAAGCTGGTCGTTAATTATCGCTCACACCCATCCCTCCTCCACCTCTACTCTACCATATTCTATCATGGAGAGTTGGTTCCAGCTGCTGATATAAACATGACCCACTCGTTACTGAACTGGGAGGGGCTTACTAACCCCGCCTTTCCCCTACTATTCCATGGAGTCATTGTAAATCATTAATTCTTTAATTTTATTTATTTTATTTTCAAAACTTTATTATTAATATATTTTTATTTTAGTTTTTTTAATTTTTATTATTTTTATTATTATTTTATTTTATATATAAAAATATTATTTTTCTTATAAAAAATAATTAAAAAAAATTTTTTTGTTTTCTTTATTTTTTTTAAATTTTATTTTTAATTACAGGGTGAGGACGTTAGAGAGGGTAACAGTCCTTCATGGTTTAATCCAGTTGAAGCTGTCCAGGTCTTTTTTCTCTTTTTCTCAAACTTTCCTTTTATATTTTATTTATTTTTAAGGTCGTTCGATATGTTCAGAGTCTATTGAGTGGGTGTGCCTCCTTAACAGCAACAGATATTGGACTAATAGCTCCTTACAGGAAACAAGTTGAAAAGATCAGACTGTTACTAACAAAGACAGGAATAGAAGATATAAAGGTAGTAACCGTAGTATGCTCTTTGCATGTGCATGGCATAAAAACTTGTGAATTTTAAAAATACCCTAGCTGTACCAAATTTTGAGCAACTTTAAAAATTTGTGAAAAATTAATTTTGATTGGAATCAGCTCAAACTTTCTACACAACATAAGTACATATATATGTATCAGTAAAAATATAAAAATGGATAAATCCCTACTTTTCAATTTTGGCCCAAGACCATGTACTGGACTTTTACCCAATTTTTGAGCAGCTTTAAAAATTCATAAATAATTCAATTTTGATCGGAATCAGTTCAAAATTTCTACACAGCATAAGTACATGTATATGTATCAGAAAAAGTTATAAAAATGGAGAATTTTCTACTTTTCAATTTTGGTGAAATTTGGTCCAAGACCATGTACTATAGTACAGGGACTTTGGCCCGATTTTTGAGCAATTTCAAAAATTCATTAAAATTCCAATGAAATCAGCTCAAACTTTTAATACCGTATAGGGGTTATATTTCACTGGAAATAAATTTTGTGAATTTCGCATTGTCATTAAATTTGTGAAATTAAATTCCACAAAAGAGGTGTGTCACACTAGTAAAAATGGCTGCAGAAGGTAGGATTTGTGAAAATTTATACCAACAAATGGCAAATCTTGACAATTTCACAAAATTTTATACCAACAAAATAAAACCCCTATACGGTACAACATAAGAGCGTACATAGAATAAATTAAATGGACACAATACCAATCACCAAGTTCAAGTCCATCCACACATGTACCAATTGTATTATTATGTTTGTACATCCATTGTATTAGGTTGGATCTATTGAAGAGTTTCAGGGTCAGGAAAAGAAGGTTATAATACTATCAACTGTGAGTTTGCAGTATAGAATTTTCATTAGAAATAATATTATTTATTTTAATAATTGTAAAGGTTCGTTCTAGTCCCGATCTACTTAGTTTTGATACACAGCATAACCTTGGTTTCCTCAGTAATCCCAAACGTTTTAATGTCTCCATAAGTCGAGCTCAGGCCCTTCTCATTGTTGTTGGTAATCCAAATCTATTGTGTAAGGTCAGTTGATTTAATAATCGATATTCCTAATGATAGTAATAATAATCTTTACTTGTTTTTAGGATCAACATTGGAGTCAGTTAGTAGAGTATGCTGTGTGTAATGGTGGCTACACTGGCTGTCCTGTACCACTAGTCTTTGGTGGTGAAGACACTGTTCAATGAGTCAATACTGTTCTAAAAACACTATAGTGCTAATATTCAACACATTTATCATTTATCAGTATCAACTTGTTGCATTAAAAATATAAATATAATTATGTTGCTAAAAAATGGGCTCCAAAATTAAGTACCCATCTAATTACCATAGTTTGGTGTCTAGACAATTCTTGTTCACAAGTCTAGGTGTAAACAAGGTGTCAAAAGCAACTTGTAATTTTTGGAGAAAGTTGCAAAAACTAATAAATGAGCTCTGCAGAGAAAATAATCACAAAATATTTTTAATTATTAAACATTTATAATTTACATTAGGTATACAATAATCAATCAGTTTGCATGTCTACAGAAGAAGTATCCTTCAACTCAGGGCAGGCACCATTCTCTCCATATACTAGCTGATCAAGGACACTCTCATCTTCAACAGAAGAAAAAGTCAGAGGCAAAGAGGCTAGTTCACCAACTGCAGTCTGCATCACTTCAATAGTAAACTGGTCCTCTCTCCTCAATCTCAGGCTCTGATTGCAATACTGCACAACTTGAGTATAATCCTCCATTAATAAGTACACGAATGCAATGGCTGTGAGAGTCTCAGGCTCACTAGGACACAGTTGAAGAGCTTTCTTATGAGCTTTGAGGGCCTCAGGATACTTTCCAAGCTTGCGCTGGACGTGTCCTAAATTATTGTATATGGGCTCCCAAGAATGAAGAGTAACGTTAGGATCCATAGTCTGTAGTATGGACACGGCCTGTGTGAAATAAGCCTCTGCTTTATCATACCTACCACTGGACGAGAGTACCATCCCCACCTCCGAACACAGTGCTGGGTTCTGAGGTGCAAGGGCTAAAGCATTTTTATAAAACGATATAGATATTGGAAGGTTCCCCGTTACAAAGTACTCCTTTCCAAGATACATCATGGGAACGTGAGACGACTTTAAGTAGCGGGCAGCATGACCGAATGCAGTGATGGCTTGATCGTGCTCGCCCTCCGAAGCAAACGAGAGTCCGTACATGATATGAGCATGGGCAAAGTGAGGGTCTAAATTGATGGATTTAGCGAGATACCTCCGAGCCTGTGGATGCTTCCCTATGCAATAGTAATACGAACTCACGACATACCATGATAATGGAGACTCTGGGTAGTTCTTCACGAGGTCTTGACCAAGAGAGTAGAGCTGAACGGACGACTTTTGAATAACGAGACAAGCAACGTGGGTTAGTAAGGTAGGGCTGTGGTACGGGTCCTTCTTGAGTATGCTTGAAGTGATTGTTTTGCATTTCTCTATATCCATTTTATCCAAGAGGCTGGAGGCAACGCGAGACTGGACGTCGATACTTTTAACTAGACTCTTTGCCTTTTCCAAGAGAGGATAGGGTTTCTTGTAATGACAGAGCTTCGACTGGTAGAGATACTGCATGATCTTCTCTTCTTCTCCACTGAATGAAAGGGACGAGACTAGTGAGTGCTCATCAGGGCCCTGAAGTGCACGAAGAGCATAAAGTTGTTCCAGTGCCTCCTCGCAATACGAATCCTCAGCTAGTACATCTTTATAGCAGGCTATTGCTTCTGATACATTACCAGTACCTTCATAGGCCCTTCCCAACAGCATGTACATAGGGGCCCCTGATACATGGCCCAGTCTAATGGATACGAGGTCCTCCTTTTTCTGAGCTCCTCCTCCTTCATCCATTAACCCTCCGTCTTCTTCTTCAGCAGGACCGCCCGTCAGTAGTGAGACCACTTCGCCCCAGGCTTTGCAAGCTGCTAGGCATTTTGCTGCCAGGTATCGGAGCGAGGAAGACTTAGTGAGAAGAGGAGAATTTTGAAGGCAAGAGGCGGCGCGCCTCCATTGCCCGCTGTTATAAAGACACTGGCAGTAGAGCACCAGGTCGTCTATATCTTCCTCTGATAGGAGAAGAGCCTTTTCAGCCCAAAAGGCAGCCGTTTCTGGCATCATCTTGCTATTATAGTCATCAGCAAGCTGTCTGAATCGGATGAGTAGACCTTCTGTGTCCATGCTGGATTTAATCATAAAAGGCGGGTAACCACGCCCACAATAACTAATTCATCAGGTCCATACCCACAGCAATAATTAAATTTTATTTTTTAGAAAAAGGGAACAACTTTAATGAATGGTACAAAACTAACAGAGAGAAAGTAATGATTCATGAAAAGACAAATACTGATTGCACGTACACCACAACACACAAAACAGTGACCAGTTTGAAAACACACACACACACACACAAATAAAGATAATGACATTTGATTCAGAGAGAGAGGGAGAGAAAGAATAGAGAAGAGGGATGAGGACAAACCAACAAAAACAACAATAATAAATATATAAACTTATAAAAATGTCAATATTATCCAGGGAATTAGAAATCAAAGAAAAATCAAAAATAATATCAATAGAAAAGAACCAATAATAGTTATTATTTTTATTATAATCTTTATTCCAGATAATTTCTCTCTTTTCAAAATAGCGATAATTACAAAATGCAGCCGATGGTTGTAGTAATACACTAGAATACCTTCCCAGTACGAGTGGACCTCCTCACACAAGCAGTACTGCTACCATGTGACACTGTGGCCTCCTTTACATCAAGTGGCTGTGTCTCACCTACAATATTAGCAAGACAGAGCAAGGCATCAGCACCTCTTAAATCATCAAGACTAGAGGATCTAAAAGAAAAGAGAGAGAGAGAGAGATACAATACAATAGTGCTATAGTAATTTGTTATAAGTATTCTTTTAATAGTAACACAAAAATTGGTGCTATAAAATACACGTATTGAAAAAAGCATCAAGTACTACATGTACATGTACAGGGGCTTGTAAATGAAATAGGACCTTGATTCATGCGATAAAGGAGAAGGCCCATTATAGCCACTGTCAGCCAGAGAGGAGTCAATATCAGTTCCACTGCAATCCTCAACGCAATCATTGTCCTCACTGCTGTTGTATGCTTCATCATCTGAAATAGGGAGATAGAGAAGTAGTGTGAACAATAGAGATACATGTACAGGTATTGTACATGTACATGTACATGTATCTACTGAAAAATGTAACAGTAACTGTGGAGTCTTAGTGAGTGCATCTGAAATGTAAGACATGCCCTTGGCATCAGCTTCGTTAGATACATGTAGATAGTACATGTCTCAGGTATACTAAGGTACATGTACTGTACATGTACATTACTTAAATGATATGTACATGTACTTACACAAACGTGATTAAATGTACATGTACATGTACTTATTTTGAATCAGGTCTGGACATACAAACGTACATGCACGCACAAACATGTAATAAATAATGCATTACAATTTAAGCTAACCTTCAGCCTTATTGTGGCCATTCACATTCCTTCTCTTCACCTTCTTCTTGCTCTGCTTTCTCTTGCGCTTCCCACGTCTTCCCCCAACACTCCTTCCCCTGCCTCCATTCTCTTTCTGTGTCTCCATCACCTCCTCACTATTGCCTAATATCAACTCAGCTGCTGCTAGCACCTCCTCAAGATTCAAACCACTCCTAATGAAGGAAAGGAATGCGTGTGTATAGAGAGGATTAGTGCCAGTAACTGTAAATGTACAAAAACTTTGAGAGAAAGAATACAATAACAACTCCACGTGGACACAAACAAAAACATGTACGTGTACATACATGTACATGTACATTGTACATCACTATAGATCTAGAATTAAATTAATTCAACTAAAAATGGGGGGTTTCAGGAGACCTGGAGAGACCAAAAGTCTTGTAAAGTTAATCCTTTAGATCTACATGTAACAGTGTACATGTACACTCTGTAAATATACATGTACATGTACATGTAAATGTAATACTGTAGCTTTACATGTAAATGATGAAATATCTTTATACCTTGAAGATGGTGCAGGGGAGGGAGGAGGTGTGGGCAAATCAGTATAACAGTGGTCGTGATAGATGGCTCTCACTAGAGCTGGATCAACCCCACCATTCTCAGCACCACTTATAAGACATATTGACAGTGCTGCATCTCTTTCAGCAGCATCAAGACCTTTATCTGAGACTGCTAGCTCTAATTCCTCTCTCAGGGCAGCTAGAGGGAGAGAGAGAGAGGGAGGGAGAGGGAGGGAGAGAGAGGGAGGGAGGGAGAGAGAGGGAGGGAGAGAGAGAGAGAGAGGGGGGAGAGAGAGAGGGAGAGAGAGAGAGGGAGAGGGAGGGAGAGGGAGAGAGAGGGGGAGGGAGAGAGAGAGGGGGGAATTATTATTTAAACAAGCTATACAATGAACATGTACAGGTATGTAGTTGCTATAGAGTTTGAAAGAACAGGAAATCACTTGTAAGAAAACAGACTGAGGGGCAGTAATTAGAATAAGACAGGAAAGTAGAATAGAAAACAACTACACATGTACAAACAAATTGACACAGATACATGTACAAATACATGTACATGCACTGTATATTGAAGCAATACACATGTCACATACATGCATGTACAGATATAATTGATGTACATGTACAATAGTTGATGATAGAGGAAATCAGTCAGGCAGTGTTTGGTATATTAGCACAGGTGTTCATATCACAACAATCAGCTATAATTATATTGTAACTTGTAGCTGAAAATAACAATAGCATAAGGTACATGTACATTAGATGTTCATTAAGTGCATACACTTAAAGGAGGCACACACACACACACATATATGTACAGTGTGTGTAGTGATACTGGCACTTATGGAGAATGTTTAGGTGAGGTAATAACATGGTTTGTTGAGCACTGAAGAGGTTAGAGTCATTCGAAACCCAAACACATCAGCTCACAGACACAAAGAAATAAACAACCCCAAGAAGAGAGAGAAATAAGAGTAAGTGTAATATCTAATACACTAGGATCAGAAGCCATAACAAATACCAGAGAAGCCAGTATAAGAATGGAATCTACACTTGGCTGTAACCTGATTGGCTAAAACAACAGTACTGTGAGTGTAGTAGTAGTAGGATAGTACATTCGTATACTATAACAATAGTGCACACGGATAAGTTGTACTGTACATGTACGTGTACATGTACATGTATGTCATCATGCGTGTATCAAGATGTATTAATGTGATAGTGGACAAACAGGTATTGTAATTACCATGGTAACAAGGCAATACATGTATACATGAAGATACAATTAATATCACTTACCAATCATACTCCTTGAGGCAACAGGTGAGAGAGAGAGAGAGGGGGGAGGGATGGTGAGAAAGAGAGAGAAAGAGAGAGATTAAAAACACATTTGTAAATGGATTTCATAGACTTCTCATAAAACACATGATCAATAAATATCGTTATACTTTGAAGTTCACATTGTCTTGTTTGTACCAATGACATTCACAAGTTAAAAACTACAATGAATAATACCTTTCCTTTCATAAAGCCCCTTAACACCCTTTTAAAAGGCTTCAACGCCTATTGTCACAAGATTCAATACAGCCATATAAAACTGTTAGCAGACCAGAGAGTGTTTATTTCATTAGCATTAATGGGTGACTAGTCTACCCTCTATGAAAGGCATGAAGCTTTCTATTTAGCTTTGTCTTGCGCTAAATGTGTTCAAAAGGTGCATGCCTAAGAGTGCATGTGTACCTTGGAAAGTAAGGAGGAGTGAAATACTTGTGATAAGGATGATAAGGGTTAAGCTTCAAAGCAGAGAGGAGACTTTCTCTGTATGACGAATCAACAGTCCACAAGCCTCCCTTTGTAATGATGGACTTGCTCTGTTTCAATACAGACATAAAAAGGGAAATAAAGAGATAAAAGATAATGAATGACATACGAGTCTATTTATTGCAATATTCATGGGGAGTATCTAATGTCATCATTAAGTATAAACATGACCTGGGGATAAGACTTCAACCACATCCAGGAACCACATGGTCAGTAAAGTTGAGTCATCATTGACAGTCTTACATGTAACACAAGGCAATGTCACCCAATCCAATTCTATTATGCACTTTTGAAGTGTTTCCATGACAGACATAATAAAGGCTCTTTTTAATGGCATCACTAATTTGACTTTTAATTCTTAAAATCCCATAACATGATTACTTAAACAATACGCGTGTGTCTTGATGACACAAAACTTCGACTGCACACATTCTCTTTCCACAACATTCCCCCTCTTAAATCTACTACATGTACAGCACAAGTACCTTACTCTCTGCTTTACTTTTTGACCCCCCACCCTCAATTTTCCTCTCCCTTTCTCTCCCTCTCTTACCCTTTTAGAAAACTTCTCAACTTTCTTGAAGCACTTATTCAGCGAGAGGTTGTGTCTGATTGAGTTTTTCCAGCCCGGGGAAGCCGACTGATAATATGGGAACTTCCACTGTACCCATTCATAGATCTGCTTGACTGGTAGCGTCTTGGTAGGAGAACTCTCTAAAGCCATAAAGATCATACAAGCAAAGGAGAGAGGAGGCTTGTGAGCATCTTCACCATTATAACGCTTGTTTCGTACACTCAGGACAACGTTGAGCATCTTCTCAGCAGAATTCACGGTACCTTTACGAGGAACCTTAAACTGTTGACCGTCCGGGCCTAACTTGAGTCGATCCTCTTCGTCTAATTTTGAACTCGAGCCTCGTCTTGCTGTAGTCCTTGTACCCATTGGGCTGAGTCTGTGAGGAGAGCCGGTGAGTGCGTTACACATGGTGGTGAGTACCCCAGGGTTCTGAAGCCAGCTCAGACTGGTAAGCTCATCGTCCTCTACTCGACGAGAAATGGAGCCAAACACATGGAGGGAGGCTTCCTCTTCTCCCGGTAGCTTGGGGACTCCTTCAAGGGACGTGGTAGAGGGAGAGAGAGGGATACTCGGGGGTTTTAGGCTAGGGAGGGTTATGTGAGATGTGGCTAACATGTCTGCTACCCGAGGAAAGCCTTGCTCTTCGTCGCCAACCATGTGACACAAGATATAAGCCTTCTTCTCTGAAGCGGCAGATGATTGACAATTAGCACTTGAAGGCGATCAAGACCTCTCCTCTACAACGAAAGAGGGCTCTCATACAAAGGTAAAGAAGAGTGAGACCGTTCACGTGTTTCTGTATCTCTCTCTTTTCCTTCTTCTCCGTTATTCTGTTGTTCTATTTCTGGATGGGAACGGTTGCTAGGATACGTTAGTATTTTTGTCGTCATGGCTACCCTCAATTAATAATAAAACAACAATAATAGAAATTATAATAACTAGAATAAACTGAAATACTATACCACAAACCGACCCATTGATGCATGCAACATGTATTTATAAATTCTCTTTGTTTTATACTCTCCTGGCCTTGAGGCAATTGCCTTAAAATTATAATAACAACAACAATGATGATGATACTTAAAACACCAATAGTGGAGAGAAATATTGTGCATTAAAAGCACATAAATATCTAAAAAAAACAAGAAATGATTATTACTAATTATGTTTAAAAATCTGATGGAGTAAAGGAGAAAGAGAGAGAGAGAATGTTTTTATGCCAGTATGGTTAAAAAATTTCAACGAATGTATGAAATGAATGATGGAGTGATTATTACAACAAAACTGATACTCTGGAGAAGGAGGCTGGGTTTAGTTGAAGTGCGATAGTTTAGTGTAAGTCTCTTCTCTTACAGGAACAAAACCAGTGTTCTCATAATCTAGAAGTTTATAAAAGCAAGTAGAAATTAATAGCAAAAAAAGCACATAAAAATGACTACGGCATGCTGATTTGAGCTAACAAAATACCATAATAGTGGAAAATTTTGGAGGGAGTTAAATTTGGTAAATTACCAAAACTAATTTTGGTGATTGGCAAATTTTATTTGGTGAATTAGCGGCCACATGACACTTAGCATTATATATGGCTTAAAATGGTGGATTTTATTTTGTAAATGACTATCAAATGCCAAATTCACCAAATTTAATCCCTCTAAAATTTCCCGCTATATGGTAATGCACAAAAAAATTAATATGGGTGATCCCACAAAAATTAATATGGTTCATGCCACAAAATGCCCAGTAACAAAATAGTAATGCATACTTTGCTATATTCAGCTACTAATATTTTACACACTACACTTAACACTATAAATACACATATACATTTGTATAGATAAGTTGGTATTATTGTAACAGTACTCACATGTTCTTTTAGTCTTTGTATCAACAGCGTAAGGAAGAGGAGGTACTGGTGGATTAGGAGTGAAGGAACAAGGCAGAGACGTGTGGACGGATAAAGGTATTTCACTTGTGTCTCCATGTGGCTCATAAATCGGGCCTACTACATGTACACAAAATGAAATTAACTTTACTACACATTTCAAGGACAAGACTTACTTTTCATCAAGTGGCCATAAGCTCCTTCTTCTTCATCATCATCATCTATATTATCAGGTGAGTAGCGAATTACGTCATAGTCTTCAGCTGGCTGAATTACATCATAGTCTTCAGCTGGTGGCTCTGTTGTTTACAACAGTAATAGATAAAGGGAGCATAATGTAATCAAAGGATTAATGTGAGAGCTACCACTATTATAGATGGTGATATAAAATGGCTTCATACATTAGCACATCAAATTAAAGAATGTATACACAGACAGGTACATGTATACACAGACTGTGATATGCCAACAAGCAGTTTTTATTATCAAATCAATCTTCATTACAGTATACTATAACTTCAAGCAGATATCTTTAATTGGAAACATGCAGCTCAAACTTTCTACGTAGCATAAGGACATCGATATGTATTTTTAAAATGTCATTAAAATTTGAGACAAATTCGGAGACATTTTTTGAAAAAAAACCATGGGCTATAGCTTTGGGCATTTTTTAAAAATTGGTCCATTTTTAAATGGCCATTACTCAAAATTTGTTATTGGAATCGACTCAAACTTTTTACATAGCATAAGGGCATCAATATGTATCAGAAAATTTAATAAAAATTGGGGGTGATTTTGGAGCCATTTTTTGGAAAAACTATGGGCTATAGCCTTGGTATTTTTCAAAAAATTGGCAAATTTCTAAAAATGGCTATAACTCAAAAAACTTTAGTCGGAATCAGCTCAAACTTTCTATGTAGCATAAGGACATCAATATGTATCAAAAAATGTATTCAAATCAGGGATGATTTTCAAGTTGATAAAGCACAAATTACACCCATGCTTTTTGGGACAAATATGCATAAAAAACATAACGATATTTTTAAAATCTAATCTTTAATAAACATTCACTGCACTAATTCTGATTTGCAAGATGTACACATTATTATGCATTCCATTATATACATGTACATGTAATAAGCACATGAACTAACCAGTGATCAATTTCTCCGACACTGATATCATGGATGAATCTAATAGATGAGAAAAGAATAAGTCAAATCAAAACATGAAAAAATAAAACAATTGCAATATTGAGAGCTATAATATACCACATGTTATAGATTACCCACTGTCCCTTATCCATTACACTTTAAATAACACTCATCGTTTACATAATCTCTTTCATATCATAAACATCAAAGTTATTCATGATTTATTTTGACAGGCGATCACATAAACTTGATATGATTCCTCCTACCTGGTACTCCTTGAGAACCACCTTTTCTCCGAGGCGGAGGAGGGGGAGGAGTTTCCTCGGCTTTTATCGGTAGAGAAGGAGCGGAATTCCTTCCATGACCCATTGGTTTCTGATACGAAGACTGGACAGGTACTTCATAATCGCTAGCAATAGCAGACGGGACCACGCCGCCCATATCCCCTCCTTTACACGTACCTCCCCCCATCCCTCTTAGGCTTAGATCTGGCGAGGAATATAAGCCGCCATTCTGCTGAGGTGAACTGATTGGAGATCTTGACGTATCAAGTTTCGTTCTTGGTTTGGGTATCGGAGAGCCAGGTGGGCGCGTTGTTGTGTTTGTCATTGCAATAGGAAGGGGTGAAACTAAACAAAATGAATAATAATATTACTTTCGTTAAAACTAAATAAGATTACTTTCTTGATCAGGAGTTGGAGGTAGAGGTCTTTTGTTTCGTGGTTGCGCAGGAACTATCAAAATTTAATAATACTAAATACAAAGAATTGATGCTGTTACCTCTAGATTGCTCAAAACAACTGAGTGGCCTTGAAAAAAAAAACAAAACAGAAAAAGTAAAAAAAAAAAACAAAAAGTGGCAGCGGTGGGATTCGAACCCACGCCATCGAAATGACTGGTGCCTAAAACCAGCGCCTTAGACCACTCGGCCACGCTACCACAACGAAGATACATTCAACTTTACTTACCTTTGAGTAACATCCTAAATAAAAATTCATAATTTGCTATAATTTTAAATTATTTATCTTACCACAGCTACATTCTCTAATGAAATCTGCTTCAGAGCTGCCTTTGACTGTGACCTAAACCATAAAATATTTAAAGCATGGGCCACTTTCATAAAAAGACACATACTTTCTTCTTTGAATCTGAAACTCTGCATCTTCTAAATCCTGGGTCTTTGTCTATCAAAAAATGAAAAAAAAAGAGTGAGAATAATACAGGCAACACTAAAGTACTTAACAACTACACTCCTGCTATGTATAAATGTGTAATTTGCTTGTTATACATGTACATGTGGTAGTTACACTTTCATTCATATTATTGAAAATTATTTTTAAAAACAGCTGCTAAAAGATTGTTACTAAAGTTTACTCTCTCTGAGATTGCTGTCTCTGTTTTCAAAATATCCCTCCACTTGTTGTTTAGCGGATAAACAACTCAACAGTTAAAGTGACTGGCATGCAGCCTTGTTGATAAAGCTTATTTGACAGCTGCTCAATACTTGGGCATGTACATTCAAAGTGTATTAGCATAAAGTACAAAAGAGGCTAAAAGATAATAAGCTAAGTCCCCGAGTCACTCCTTCTCCATTGTTATCATTAATATCTAAATTAATAGTGAAATTCTGACCACAATTTATCATAACAGGTAGCTATGATTATATAGAGTATACATGTTACTCCAAGTTGCTCAGAAAATGGACACTACTACATTTTGCAAATTACAATCATTCACTAAACCCACTATTTCAGTTACTTGTGAAGGGACGACACTTGTGGAAAATAACACTTCATTCAGCGTCTGTATCCACATGTGCTTCTCTGACGGAGTGTCGGCTGCAAGATGATACTTCCTGTCTTTAGTGCAAACGTCAAATACGTATTTGTGACCTTTGACAGCTACAGAGCCAGAGACACGATAGCATTCAGTCAGGTTCACAATCCCTAGAATTAAAAGAGAGAGAAAGATGAGGAAGGGAGCAGAATTAAGAGAGAGGAAGAGAGGGTATGGAGAGAGAAAAAACATTCATTCTGTGCCAAATTTGGCCACATTAATTATAATACAAATGTAAATGACAAATAGTATGACCAAACATGGTATGCATCCTTATATGTACAAGAAATAATTCCGTGGAAATAATTATGGTGAATATAATCACTGAGTACGTAAAGAGGAAAACAAAATTAAATCAATTTCTCATAAAAGGCAACCATAACATAACTTCATCATAATTGTATCAGACAGTGCAATTAATTGTAATTGACCCTGTCTGAGAGTATTAATAAGTACAAAACTTGACAGGAAAAAATCGTTAAACTAATAAATAATAAAGATAAAGAAAGAATAAAGAAATAATAATAATAATAATAATAATAATAATAATAATAATAAGACTGCCATATTATACTGTGTTCTATGCATCATTAGTTTCCTCTTAATTTTCAATACAAAACTCAGAGCACTCGATACCAGAACTGACCGCCCACCATTTACATATACACACATACCACTGAAGTGCAGTATATACATTACATAAAGTACATGTACGTGTATGCAAATGTGACCAGTAATATTAGTGTATGCACAATTATGTTTATTTAGAGAAATGAAAGTAGTAAACCTCAACTTGTAGCGTATAATTAACAAACTTAAAGGGAGGACTCTTTTACAGTGAGTGTATGATTGAAAACAGAGCGAGGAGGGGGAGGGAGAGAATTAGTAACATTGAAACACTTAAAATGATATTAAATTACAGCTCTAACATCATCAAGAGGTAATTAGCCCTCAATTTTGGTCAGTACAAGAATCATTGAAAGAGTTCCCACGCGTACCTTTTGGATCAGAGAGCTTCCTTGCTTCACTCTCGTTCTGATAATACTCCAGTCTAACGTATCGCTCAGCCAATGGGTAGGACCTTATGGAGTCACGGAGTACGAACCAGCGGCGCCTCCATTGAGAGATGGACGGTGCATCGAGTGGTGGGCTCTTTGTTAAGTAGCCCGACTTGACAATCTCGTTATTTTGTGCCATTTACTAATAGCTACAGAGAAAGGGAGAGGAAGAGATGAAGGGGGAAAGAGAAATGGCAGTTTATAATGTGAGGGAGGAGAAATACAGAAGGACTAGAGGTGTGGTCCTGGGTGTAACCACAGAATGCATGCATCTATCTTTTTGCATAATTCACATTATAATTATCCACTCTTGACATTATGCAATGAACTCCTTTGTTTTGAGGCTCTCAGTTATCTTTGAATAACTTCAAAGAGATGATAGGGAAAGGCCAGTGCAATAGCTTCTTATACAGTGGGGAGAATTGCATGTGAATTCATGATTGCTAAGGTGTTTTTGTTTTTAAAATTGACATTTTTTTCCTACCATGTACATTCATGGTAAAGAATCATAATACATTATCCCAAAACACAATCCTCTTCTAAATAAGTGCAGCGATCAGTGTTCCAACTTCTAGCTCGAATCTTTTAGCTTTTTTGATGCACTAAAACCTTTTTATTATAATAGATCTACGATTACGCAACCTAAGAAGCAATTTAAGAAACTCTTGACTAACCCCTATAGCTGCATGAGGCCATCTTCAAAATGTTGTTGTTGTTGTTGTTGAAAAACAAACCTCTTTAAAACAAAGGGAGTGTTTCTTGAAAGTGTGATGGAGGGAAATGATAGACACAGACACACAGAGTGGTTGTGTGCTACACATAATTAAAAACATTTTCATCATTTTGTGTACGTCCATCATGTGTATACATATGTACACGTATGTGTGTAAGGTCTATATCAACAAATACAGGAGATAATGTTATTGTTTGTGATTATTTATTATAATTTAAGTTGCACGTGATTGTATACATAAACTCCATATAATTATACTGTTAATACATACATGTATGTACATGTACTTATAGTTCATTCTTCTCCCCCTCCCTCTCTCTCTCTCCATTAATTCTTTATAATACAATAATGTCAAAAAGAGGAGCTTATCAGAGTGACAATAGGTATGATGCTTCACAAGAAAGAGATGAAAAGTAGTTTGTGATGGTCGGAAAGATTTTTGTTTGTTGAATTACATCTAAGTTTTATTTTCATATTATCCCATACTTTAGTAAAGTCTGGAGCCTTATAATGATAACAGCTGGACTTGTTTTTATCACACACGCCAGTTCCTTTAGCCATTGAAAGCTAATGCTTTGAAAAGAAACTGAGGATGCTTCAAAACTTTAGCATTAAAATTAATTTTAGTTTGACTATCATAATTATTTTAAGTAATAAGGTTGCGTTGTATGTACATTAATATACTATAATACCGTAAAATTTTCTGCAATTATACAATGTAGTTATATCATATCTCTGTGTGTTAAAATTGTTTTCATGACACATCTTTCATTTTCCTATTCACTTAATTGACACAGTAAAGCAGACCCCATTGATATCCAATAGTCCTGAGGCTTACTGGATGGTAATTGGAACGCAACAACAAAATTAGTAGAATGACCTACACAGAGGATACACATGAGTACTATAGTGGCCAGTTTGAGAGGTAACGTTTATACCTGTGGTTGATAGGACTCCAGCTCTTGCACCTGTTTTGTATAGCGGAGCAGTGTAATCGCTAGGATCAATAGTGTGGTTCCTTCTCGGTTCCATATGAGTGACAGGGAGACACTGAGAGAGAGAGAGAGAGAGAGGAAAAGAAAGAAGTAAAAATATATATCAGGAGGAAGTAGAAACATTGATAGTAAATTGTTATCTTTATTCATCTTGCATTTTTGTATAATTGCCCCTAGCTCTCTCTCACTCTTTTTGTCTCTCTCTTTCCTTCATTCTCCCCTTCTCTGTCTCCCTCTCTCTCTCTCTCCTTTTACTGGATTCATTTCTCCAGGCACAGAGTCAATAATTTGCATCGAGTCATCGTCCCATTTCATTGCTTCCATGAACAACCCGTGGATCAATACACCATCCTCTGGAGACTCCAACTACAGTACAATAAATAGAGAACCAAGTATAAGTACTGAAATATGAAGGTATGAAAGTATGAAAGTAATAAGCATGAAAGTATAGACCATATGTATCAAAGTATAAAAGCATTGGTATAAAAGTATGGAAGTATTGACAATGAATTGTATTTAAAAGGGAGTTTAGCCATAGTACAGATATTATGAATCTAAAATGAAACAGCTATACATTGCCAATCTACACAAATGTAAATAATTTGTCAGGATTACATTTTACTACTATAATATACATGTACATGTACATCAATACATGTAAGAACATATTGGGGTATTATTATTACATTTTCTACAAGTTTCTCTTCCTCTCCTTTCTGACAGGCAGCATAAAAAGCCTCTTGGTCAAGATAGTGAGGGAGTATGGTAAACTTGAAGCTCAACTCGTCGATCGGTAGGTTATAATTTCTAGCATGATTCTGCAGTGCACCAGTTAAAAACCCTATTGAAAAGAAGAGGATAGTAACTCCATTATTATTATTACGAACCTTGTGGAAAGAAAAAGCCAGACATCCAGTAAGACTTAGGCGAGCCGATAAGAATCCATCGCTCGATAAAGTTTAGCCTGAGTACTAGGTCTTTGACCCAGGACGATAATGGTTTAAGAGAAGGATAAGCAGCAGTAGCCCATAAACCTGGGACCTGTATGGTAAAATCAACACAGTAATACATGTAAGGGATTGCTATTGAGTGGTGATGCAGTGATGTCCCATTAAGTACAATGTACTTTAATACTATTATTGTACATGTACTGTAGCTTACCTGGTTGTTTAAGAAACTAGTGTACACTCTTTCCAATTCTTCAGACATTACTACAAGACCTTTGATAGCTTTCTGGATACTTTTTAATGAGCTCTATAAAGGGAAGGAGAAGGAGGAATAGCAATTATACACTATAATAGTGACATACCTTAATAACTCTGATGAGATTATTAAATCTGTCAACTTCTTGACTGAGTACAGTAGATAATGAGCTAATCTGACCACTCTCATTTGTCTAAACAATAAAAAATAATGTACATGTACACATGCTAAATACATGCATTCAAATCACGATTTTATCATTCATTTAATTCAAAGCGTCTTACAGCAAACAATGAAGGCTCTGCTTTATCTAGATCAAGTGTATCCATTATACGTTGAAGGATATTCTCAGCTAAATCATACACAATCTCATCGTTGGTCTTTCCTCCTCCGCTGCTGGCCATTCTTGGCTGCACATCAAGGACTGTAGTTACTAATGTAAAGGTTTCTTGAGTCTAAAAAGAGAGAGAGAGGAGAGGGGAGAGATAGAGACAGAGACAGAAAAAGAGGAGGGATAGAGAGAGAGAGAGGAAGAGGAGAAATAGAAGAGAGGAAGAGGAGAAATAGAAGAGAGGAAGAGGAGAAATAGAAGAGAGGAAAATGGTGTGGATGTACACATGTACATATTAGTGGGGAAGTATGCAGCACATGCAGCACAGAAAGGTTTGAGTGGAAAGGCTTGAATTAGCAGCTAGATGTGGTGTACCTGAAAGGCAATGTTGGCATTCTCGTGCATACCAAACACTTCAGGATCATCGTCATAAGGCAAAGCATCAATAAAATCACGATAGACCTTGATTGAATCAGCCTCAGGAGAATAATAATTACCTGAACGAAATTAATAAATAAAATAAGTACATGTACAAGCACATCCATACTCATACATCATAAATCTATTGCATAGCTATAAATTTTTGTAGCTGAAAATTGAAGGCCAAGGCGCATTTAAAGAAATAAAATTTGCAAAAAGTTAGGGTCATAATAATAATTTCTAGCTACATGTACATGTATAATGGTACATGTACATGTACATGTGCAGCCGAATAAGTGACTCACCGGACATTGAGTACTTGTATTGACCTTCGAGTGTTTTTGGTGAAAAGAATCTCTTAAGAACAGTCCTTAGGCACCTTTGGTCCCAAGCATCAGTAACACGACCTCCATACGTTATCTATCAATAAGAACAGCAATAAGAAATAATGTGTACATTGTATTATTAGTAAAATATACGTGTATAAATAAATGCTTGTACCCAATACATGACATGTATGTGAATATACATTTACTGTACATGTTCATTTCACTGTCTTACCTCTCCTGTAATAAATGTTAGTGCATCCCATGGTATGTCTCCATCTTCAAGGAACATCTTAAGATTATCAAGCGCACAGCCACGATCACTGTCAGTGAATTCATACTAAGGAAAGAGGGAGAGAGAAAGAGGAATAAAGATGATGAGAAAGGTTACAATACTTTTATGTTCCAGCCCAGAGGACCAAATTTCTTTCTCTCAAGGATGATAGCATGAAAGAAACAGAGGCCAAATATAAGCTTACGCCATGTTATACCTTGTTCTATAAGGATAAGGGATTATTTATTATGGACAAACATAATTATACTAGAGTACCGTTTTCCTCAAAGAAGGATGGCTGTATCTCAGTGAATGCTCTCTTCATGTTAGCCCTCAATCCTATAGCAAAACGGAGAATAAAAGCCATTATATTGACAATAAAATACATGTACATGTACTGTATGCATACATGCACATGTACCACTAACATGTACCCCCCCCATACATGTACAAGTACAAGTACATGTACATGTACATGTACAGTGCTTTGAAAAAGCTAAGTAGCTACTCCACAGTTACTCTACTGTTGCGTAGGTAGTTCGGTGCTCTTCGTTGCGCATGCCCAATGTGACAGTGGTAGTAGCGCATGTGGTCAGTAGCAAACAGTAGCTCGACGGTAGAATTGAGCGAAGATCATCCTAAACAGGCTCCTAACAGCAGAGAGCAGCAGTAGAGATGGACTTGGAGGGCACAGACAGCCAAGAGAAGCATCCTCAAGTCCTTTGAGAGCCTCTAGAGTGAGTGAGGACTTGCTACTACAGAACATGTGACTGGGTAGTACCGCAGTACTTTCTGGGCATAGTGAAGCAAAGAGTAACAAAGAGTAGCAAAGTAAAATAACTACCTACGAAGTTCTCTTCTCTACTGTACTCTACTTTGCTACTTAGCTTTTTTAAAGCACTCTACTGTACAAGTACATGTACATGTACATGTACATACAGTATATGCAATGCGTGTGTACAATTACAAGTATAAGTGTATTCTTCTCACCCTTTGGTGGTTCATTGGTGACCTTTACTGCATTCTGTAGGACTGACACTGGGAAACTACTAGTAGGCATTGAGGATAAGAATAGCCTGAAATCATCATTAACATATGCATCAGGTGAAGTAAAGTTTTTAATAATGTTCTCCATTGACAACATCCAGGAGGCAGCCAAATGACAGTTCTAGATATAAAAATACAAAATTTAGTAGCTACATGTATAAATAGAATGATACTAAAAATAGCACAGTAAAAAATATATACACATAAAATGATACAAAAAATAGCAAAGCATATTACCAAGAGTACATAATACCTAAAGAGAGTATCCAACGGGCCCATCTCGGCTGCTGCAAGTGCGTGGATTTCTAGGAAGTCCCGTTCAGGATACTTTTGTATTATTATCAATGATAAATGTTGTTATAACAACACATCTGTATAAACATTGATTGAAAACTACTGAAGTATGCGGAACAGAAGTTACGGAACAGAAGTTACGGAACAGAAGTTACGGAACGGAACGTGATTGACTTCCTAAAAATCCACACACTTGCAGCAGGCCTCAATAGGGCCGTTGGATACTCTCTTTAGGGATTATGTACTCTTGATATTACAGAGTAATAAACATACTGAAAGAACTGTACATGCATCACATAGTGTCATTATAAATGTACCTGTAAGAAGACCCAGTCTCCGTTGGATTTTGCTGAGTTGATCATTTTCTCAGCGATAGGTCCTTGTCCCTGTCCCAAAGAGATGGCGTGTATTCTCTCCATGTAACCTTTCTCTTTAGCAAATCTAAGGAAATTACTCATTGGGTCTGAGCCTTGTGAGAGTATGAAGACAAGGGGAGTGGTGGAGGACATGTCTCCAAATAAAATTGACAGATCAATGGATGGGCTCTCGACAAATGATTTGCCAAGATTCTCAGCAACAAAATCAACAATAGCAAACACAACCTAAAAATACAGTAGCATTTTTGATTAGAATGAGCTGAAAATTACTACATGTATGCAATATAGGTAAATCAGAAGAATTATAAAAAATAAAGTATTCTCTCTTAGCTATTTTGAAAAAATACTCTGTACTAGTAAAGAAAGTTTGACTAAATTTTCAAGCAACTTAAAAAATCATAAAAAATTAATTTCGATCAGAATCAGCTCAAACTTTCTACACAACATAAGAACATGTATATGCATCAGTAAAAATTATAAAAATAAGGAATTCTCTTCTTTTCAATTTTGGCGAAATATTTTTGAGCAACTTTGATAATTTATCAAAAATTAAATTTTGATTAATCATTTCAAATTTTCTAAGCAATGCAAGAACACGTGCATGCATCAAAAGAACAAAAAAGGAGAACTATTATCAACAGGTAGGGGGTTAAATGCCAACCTAACTTGGACTTAGACTAATTAATTTGATTATAGTGTTAATTGTAGTAAAGCTTACCTTTTCTTCTTTGAAGGATTTTGTCATAATCAGTTTCTGGAAAGAAGTCAACCTCTTATCCCAGTGACCTATGAGAGTGGGAAGGGCTTCCTGTTCCCCACCATCACTTTCCGGAGGAGGAGAGGGAGGGGGAGGAGGATTGAGCTCAGTATAACCATCCCAATCAGGAGGGTTAGCATGGACCTTGAGAAAGAGAGGGGGAGAGAGAGAGAATTTGTATCAATCAATAAGGCAATTAAAAATAAAGATATACCACACATGTACATGTGCATGTACATGTAAATATAAAAGACAGACCTACATGTACATGTACATGTATATGTATATGTACATGAACATCTACATGTACACGTATGTACACACATGTACATGCATCCCAAGCCTCATAAGTGTCTATCAAATTACATGTACACATGTACCTCTAATCTTCCAACAGTGCAATGGACTGGAGTTGTTATAATGTCAGTGCAGAGTCCTTTGAATGAAGGGAGGACTTCCTCCATTTGACAGCATGTCTTCCACTGACTCAGTGACAACCATGGGACATCAGGCTTCTCTGGATACTCCTAATAATAATGTACGTACATGTACATGTATATTTCTCTCTCTCTCTCTTTACTTTATCTATTCCAGCAGATCCTCTTAAAAAGAAGTTCCACTCAGTATCAGTGATGAGGCCAGCCTGTCTCATAATGTCAATACACAACATGAAAGAAAACACAATCTTATGCTGTTCAAACAGACCTCTGGGAGAGAGAGAGAGAGAGAGAGAGAGAGAAAGAGAGAGTTTGAACTACATGTACATTGTATAATTATTATTCCTAACCTTGCCACATTAGTGTATATTGAGCTGGTGGTGTTCCTCAACAATGTGTCCAGTCTAACCTGTAGGTCTGATGATGGCTCACTGTTCTCAATACACAAATTGAACAACTACAAAATAGAATCAAAATATAAAATGTAATACATGTACATGTACATGTATGTTCCTCTTCCCCCCTCTCTCTCTCTCTTCCTTACGTTGCTGAAATATTTAAGTGAGAACTGGTACATAGGATCAACATCAGCCATCATGGCTACAACAAAGTACATTACTGACCCTGGAGGATGAGAATAAAATAATTCAACAAGAAAATCATTAAAAATAAAATCTGATATTAATTTAAGAGCTAAAGTGTACCGTACAGTACAGTGCAGGAATCCTATCATCAGTTGTATCAAGGTTTATGGGCATTACATGTACAGTTCATACATGTACATATACTGTACATGTACAATTCATACATGTACATGTACTGTACATGTACAGTTCATACATGTACATGTACTGTACATGTACTGCACATGTACAAACAGCAGTGGTCATACAGTAATGTACTGTACCTCTGGTTGCCACTGTACGGTACTTTTCTCTAGCAGTTGAAATTTGAATCTCAGTTTGTTCAGCTTCAGCTAGCCTTTTTGATATTTGTGCAGACGTTCTCTGAGAGAAAGAGAGAGAGAGAGAAGAATAAAAGAGAGTGGGTTTCTTCTCCACTAATAATAATTATACTTTTGATGCTGCAAGAGTTTCTATCAATTTCTCATCATCTAATATATTCCCTTCCGATTCAAACAACAACTTCAATATAGTGTCCTCAATTTTCTATCAAAAATTATAATTTTATTAAATCATTAAGAAAGTACTGTACAATGTAAAATGATACAACATGCATGTACATGTATTTACGCTGTACCTTTAGTTCATTTTTTGCAGAGTTAATGTTGACAATGAGTTCATTCCTTTGCTTTTCTAAGTCTGGCCTCTCCAGTCTCACCACATCACTAAAGAGAACATAATAAATAAGATTAATGAAGTAAATATACATGTACATGTAAGCTCTGAACACATTTATATACGTAGATATGCAAGAAACAGCATTTTTACCTCAGCAGTTGATCCTCAAGACCTGACTTAGTGACAGTGAAATTAATAATAGTCACTTTAATGCAAATCTCAGGCAAATAGTGAGGATTTGCCATCTTTGTAGTCATGTAAAACCTATTTAACAATAATTAAATATAGCAGCTAGTACATGATACACTGTATATGATACTATACATGTGCTTCAAGTGTGCTTCAAGTGTACCTAAAGTTCTTGTCATAGTCAATGTCACTGTCTCCTAGTCTAATGAGGAGTCTGCCACCCTGTATGAATGTCTGCTTGAGAAGGATAGGCTCCAGTGATGGGTCTAAGTGTTCTTCAACCTTAGGAGAAAGAGAGAGAGAGAGGGAGGAAGAAGCTGTATAAGCACAAGCTTATGAATATCATTATGCCCTTTGATCTATTGTCACAATTGTGCAACCCACAAGAGACTTTTCAAAAAAAGCAGTATAAAAGCACACTTTCACAGGTAAGTCTACCATACCTATATCACTGTCTTGAATTTGACATTTATACAATTTTTGAACGGGTTAAACTAAAACCCTGTCTCAGATTTTGAGTTTTTGACATTACTAAATAATGAAAAGTAGAGGTGGGTGATACCAGAAATTTCGAATCGATACCGATACCAAGTAGTCTGAGTATCAGTATCGATGGTATCGAGTAGTGAATGAGTAGTCAGCTACTGCGCATGCGCAAATAAGTTATAATTAGTTATTAATAAAAATGAAAAGAAATAAGCCGCCATTTTGTAATTATTAAAGGGTGTGACCATAATTATGATGTCAGAAATAGGTGTGGTGGGGCGTAGTTGCTCACTACTCTATACCAGGATTTGGTATTGAGTACTTGGTATCGGAGGCCTGGTATCGGATATATGAGTACTTTGGTATCGTATCGCCCACCTCTAATGAAAAGAGTGGATAATTATCCACTCTTGATAATGATTATGCTGGCACTGCTGGGCGATATTGAAAAATTTGAAACAATGTATTATGAAATACCATTGACAAATTGCCATCAATATATTATCAATCACTAAAACAGGTATATCTGAGAACGATTGGCATTAAAAGGATTAAATATTGTGAATTGATACGTCACCCTGTATTATTATGCCAGAGAAAATTGGGTGAAGCCAGCAAATTAAAGAGTACTGATAACCAGTGAATTGGTTCAAAAAATTGAAACTTTTCATTCAATATGAGTATAATTTGATTTGGAATCAAAGAATTGAATACTCTGGAATCAGAATCGTCCATCTCTAGTATTGATGATATCAAGTATACTGAGTTTGGGTCAAGAAAAACTGGAATAACTTTTTATAAGAATGTGGGATAAGGATGAAACTTTCACAGGTTCTTAGTTGCCTAATGCCGCTTCAGGATCTCAGGTCTTGGGTCTCTCAGCCCTTGGGAACCCTGAGAACTGGGTTCTCCCTATAAACCCAATGACATACCAAAGCTAACCGCAATGACATTTATGATTTCATGTTACATAAGCACATGTGGTTGATCGAGCACCCAAACTAGTGATGGGCGATTCCAGAAATTTGCATTCGATTCCAAATACTTTTGAGACTGGAATCGATGGAATTGAATACCGATTCCGAGTATGACATCTGCACATGTGCAAAGCCACATGTTATCAATTACAGCAATAAAAATGCAATAATGATGAATAATTGAGGTATTAACTACTGATTAATTAACTATTATTAATATTAAAGGGTGTGGCTAGGTGTGGTTTAATTCGGAATCGTTTCAAACGATTCCTACTTCTCTTTCGATACGAGTACGATTCCATTCGGAATCGAAGGATCAAATACTTTAGACTTGGAATCGCCCATCACTAACCCAAACTGATGATTCCTAACAGAGTGAGATCTTCTGATAATGATGGCCTTTATGAAGACTAGTTGACTCCAGGAGCTATTGTACTGCTTATCAGGAAGAGCAAGACTGTTTTAAGAATGAAGCAACACAGCCAAAATATCAGCCATGTCTCCATAAAATTAATCATTATAATACATCACTGGTGACGTACACCTGTAGCTGCATTTTCCAAATTCCAATGCTGCTGCTTCCAAACTGAGTTAGGACATAGCATACTGAATGAGTAGTTTGCTACTGTGCATGCATGATTAAAATTTGTTAGGAAATCAGCCATCATTTTTGTAATTATAAAAAAGTGTGACCATCATATCCATATGACGTCAAAAAAGATGTGATTGGGTGTGGTCACAACTCTACTCAATACCAGGATTTGGTATCAGAGGATAATTGAGTACTTTTGTATCGTATCATTTCATGTAATTCAGTTATGAGTATATTGTACATGACTACATACATGTACATGTATATTAATATACATGTACAATGTAACTACATGCTACCAGTATTATTACAACACTTACTTCTTCCACTAGTACTGGTGTACCAATCCTAATAGCATTCTCAAGTGTCCTCAGGTAATTTGGATCAGTTAGTTTGATGACTTTAAGTCCATTCTTATTCTCTGTATTACGTATCCACCTATTGGCCTGTAGGACAAAAATAATAAGTACATGTACTTACATCTACATGTAAATGATTTACATGGACACATACATGTACATGTACATGCATTTCTCTATTCCCTATCTTCCATTACTACTGTATATTAAAAATGTTAGATATTACTTGTTCTTGAGGGTCAATCATCAGTGGCCATCTCCTCCCTCTAGTAACAAGTATAGCATTCTCAGTTGAAACACTGTCCCTTGGGAGACCGTTAGAGTTCCATTGTCTTATCTCATAAGGATCAGCTAGGACCGAGATTAGACTCAGATCATCTGAGACAGGTATCTCTAGCTCCTTACATCTCTCAATCCATTTTAACATTAACTGAGAGACAGGGAGGGAGGGAGAGAGGGATAAAGGTAATATTGTACATGTATGGGTATGTTACTTTTTCTCTGTATAATGAAGTGAAGGCTCCATAATAAGCAACACAAGCGGCTGCAACAAATACATTACCAACAACATTATTGACCTCTTCATCTAATTTCTAACAACATGAGAAATATAAAAATACGCTAAATGCAACTGTGCTCACCTTTACTGATTCACTCCATCTAATTTGTTCATCAGCTAGACCGGTAGTCAGTTTGCTTGCTCTTTGAAGCCTAGCTTGTGTCTGTCTAATGTTCTTAGTTAATTCTTCTTTCTCAGCGACACTCTTCTCATAAGAAGCTTGTAATTGAGCAATCTATGAAGGGACAGTATTAATAATGAGAGAAAAAAGAGAGGGGGAAGAGAGAAAGAAGCTATACTAACCTTTGCTTCTACTTCCCCCAGGGCAGCTTGCTTTTCTTTTAATTCTGACATCATTTTATTCAATTCTCCTCTTGCTACCTTTAACCTTTATTAAAAATGCAAAAAAATTTTTAATGCTTGCTAATGCATGATATATTGATAGGAACAAGTAGGCCCCACCTTAAATTTTTATAACTAAAATCACTGTTATCATAACTATATGCACATCACATGATAATATTTGGCAAAACATTATGCTCCCAGTAATCAAGTAGTCTTGCTATAGCCAGCCTGGACTATAGTAATCAAGAATGGAAGGAGAAGGTTCTGGAGAAGATAACAATCACTCTGCTGGTAGCCCTGCTCTCCTTTCTCATCATCAAAAGTATGTCATACTAATGACTTTGTGTGCTGGGGGGATTGCAGCTATCATTGTCTGTCTCCTTGCAATGATCATGGCCATAAAGTTCAAGCTTCACAAATATTTTGTCCACCGGTTGGCTATTTATCAAGTCCTATCAGCCATGTTTTATTCTTCATTATGCATAGTGGAGGTAATATTCATTAACTATGACAAGAACACAACTGTATATCATCCTATATGTGTCATTGAAGCTTTTGTACTAGAGTATGCAGTCTGGATCAAGCTATTGTTCACATTTTGCTTGACTTTCCACTTGTTTTGTTTCTCAGTTTGTCACATTAATTACAGTCGGCTTGAAGTTGCTTATGTACTAGTGTCACTTCTTGGTCCTGCTCTCTTTAGCTGGATACCATTCATTGGCAACCTTTATGGAGAGGCTGGAGCATGGTGCTGGATACAGAACTGGAAAAACAACGATGCATCAAACAAACTGCCACTGGGAGAAATAGAGCAGTATGCACTGTATGGAGTAGCTATGACCTGTCTAATACTCTGTGGTGCTGCTGTAGTGGTGGTAACAGTGATATTAATATGCAGAGCTTATAAATGTCACTGCTGCTGCTGTAGGAATGAGATTAATGATACTGAGGATGAACACCAGCCATTATTAAGAGAGCAACAACGAAAGAAGGTGCTAAGAGAAATACTCCCACTTGTAAGCTATCCGATACTGTCCCTCATACTGTATGTACCGTCTTTCATTAATCGAGTGATTGGCTCAATATTCAAGACACCAATAATGATTGGTTTCATGTGGAGTGCTGTCACTTTGCCTTTGGTGGGTCTCTTTGCTGGAGTCTCTCTTATTGTTCATATATTCATCCTCGAGTGTCCAAAAAGGACTAGTAGCAATCCTGCTAAGCAAAAGCAACTGGCAGATAATGAAAAAGCTACAAATGCTACTAATATATTCACTTCGTACACCATTGCATCAACTAATGCAAAGACTTGCTTTGAGCCTCCGCAAGAAAGTGCTCTTGATGAAGAGCTAAACTAAACCACTTGTAACTAAATTTTAAAGCTAAAAAAATTTTGAAGTGCACATGAGTTAAAATTACATTTACTTATCAAACACAATTAAGTTTAATCTTATTTGAATAAGGAAAGGTTATTATAACACAGGGATGTTGTGGCAGTGGGTTCACAACAGTGAATACCCTAAATATAGATAGTGCTTTCAATGTTTTGCTTTCAGTTGCTTTGATACAAAGCACACAATCAATAAACCATTAATTACCTCTCTCTCTTAGGTTCTACTGTCCTGAAAACTTTTGAATATTTGTCCATTGCTCTCACCCACATACACATTGACTTGCAAGCCTACAAGCAAAGAAATTCATTGTACATGTACATGTATACATGTACTAATGAACATGATGTACATGTATTTGATATTACTTTTGATGTCTTTTCAACAATATCAGGTTCAAACTGAGGATCATCTACATACTTCTTTAGCCTCTTAAGAGTCGAGTCTGGTATATTATCCTTTTTATTGAAATGCATAAATAAAAATAGTAATTAATTCTATAAAAATAATTAGAGACTAACTTTGTCATATTCGATCATCTTTTTCATGAGACTGGAGTCACCGAGGAGCTGTTTAGCACTCGGCCAGTTTGGTGGCGAGTTAAACAGGATACAAATACTCTCCATAACAGTGTTAACAAGATCGGGCGGCTTAGTGAATACACGAATCTCAGATATATCCTTTTTATCAAGAGCATTGAGAGCCTAAGATAAAGAGAGAGGAAGGGAGAGAGAAAAAGAGAAGGGACGGAGAGAGAGAGGGGAAAGGAGGGATCGAGGGAAGAGAAGCATAGAAATTTAAAAAAAAACAAAACTTACTTTATTAGCTGATTCGAGTGCAGGTAGTGCTTCATCCAGGTCTTTCTGTGCATCATTAGCAATGGCTTCAGTCTCGTCAGCTTTAGTCTTCGCAATAGCTTCCTCTGATTTCACGACGACTCTAACCTACCAAACAAGATCAGTAAACTAGTCAGACAGGTTTCCTGTTTCTACTTCGTTTGCTTTGGCCTGGTCCACTTCAAGACGTTCCATCAGTTCCTGGGTCTCGACTGATTTCTTCTGGAGCTCTGGCTCAAGCTCTTTCAGTTCAATCTATAGAAAGAATTAACACATAATAATTAAAACATTATTATGTACATAAAATTTCTCCTAATTGAAACACAAGCTTTCATTAAAGTAACATTAAATTTACTTATGAAATTAGAATCTACTAGTGATGTGTGTGTACATGTGTACCTGCATGTTTGCTACTAGTTCGTTGGTTTCTAGAATTTTCTTTAAACCTGTAGCTATCCTGTCCCTAGCAGCTGTCAATTGTCTAAAATTAATTTGCAAAAATAATGATAACAAAATTAATTAGCTATACTTCTTCTTAGTCTGCAACATTGATAAGTAGAGGTTGATCAGCTCAAGGTATGAAGTGGGTGTGGTGTAGTATCGCCTCCTTAACTCATTGTAAAACACTTCAGCCATTGAGCTCACACTCGTATGTATTTCAACACACATCTCTGAGACCTTGTTCTAATTGTAAGAACAATTTACAATGTAATAATAAATGAAACAAATATTCGAGTAATAATATTCTCTCTCTCTCTCTCCCTCCTTCCCTCCCCTCTCCCTTTCTCTCCCTCCCTCCCTCCCTCCCCCCTCTCTTTCTCTCCCTCCCTCTCCCCTCCCTCCCTCCCTCTCCCTCCCTTTCTCTCCCTCCCTCCCTCCCTTTCTCTCCAGCCATTACTTTCATAGCATCATCTCCAAGGTCAACATTCTCAAAGAAGGTCTCAGCAACAGAGAGAAGTGCTTCCTGTGGCCATTCAGTAAACCAGTCAATGGTGCAGCAGTTAACTAGTGATGGGAACATCCTGCAGCGTGATCTAAAGGCATCACCAACAGGACTCATGCACAATACAATGTGTAGCTTGTTTTGTACTAGATTAATGAAATAGGAGAATATACCATCCCTGTAGGAGAGAGAGAGAGTGAGGGAGTAAAAAAGGCTAGTGCAAAGAGATGTACAATGTAGTTTATTGCATTTCTCAATACATTGTACATACATGTATGCATTGCTATGTGGAAGGTTTCAGACAAATATTTTTAAAATGAACAAATTTTTGGAAAAGTATCCAAGGCTACAGTCCATTGTTTTTTCTAAAAATGGCTCTGAAATCACTCCAAATTTTTATTACATTTCCTAATGCATATTGATGTACTTATGTTGTGTAGAAAGTTTGAGTTGATTCCAATAACAAATTTTAAAGTTATGGCCATTTTAAAAACACATTAATCTTTATCATATTAAATATTAATATACATATACATGTAACTTTTATTAGACCCCAGCATACCTGTCTTGTTCAGATATGCCAGCATCTTTAGCTTTGGGTCTTGTCATTTGCAAAATTTGTTCGTATTCGTCTGCCGCAAAAAGATTAGGGACTTCACCAGAGTTAAGCATATTATTGATATCTTCAAGAAACTCTTCAATAACAATCTGTAGAGAAAGAGAGAGAGAGAAGAATTAACAATGAGAGGAGATGATTATTATATGAGGTACCTGTGTATCAGTGAAAAGGAAGACTGTATTTTCTCCTTTCACTCCAGCCATGTCATACAACTTCTTCAGGTCATCATGAAATGCTTCATAATTATAACCTCTTGTTAACTCAATCTACATGTACATGTAAATAAAATGATAACAAATAAAACAAGTACATATACATTTTGTACATGTACATACACAATAAAATTAATGTGAAAAGCACAATTTTTAATCAATCACAATTACAATGTAATAGTAGTCAAGAGTAGCTATACTCTTGTGGTTTAAAGAACTGCTCTATTTTCTTAATACTCTTGTCCTGACCTGAAAGCATTTATATCCACACATGTGAGATGCTAGTCTTGTAAGACTTTGTTTCCCAGTACCGCCCACACCAACAAGAAGTGCATTACCTCTTGGCTGACGCACCATTCGAGCAATCCTTAGGATAAAAGAAGAGAGGAAAGAGAAGACAGAAAGAAATTAAGAATAGAAGTAAGTATAGAGATACATGTGCATGTATATGCATGTACCATACCTTGATACATGTTGCACAGCGTCTAAAAAGAAAACCAGTTTCATTTCTTTGGATGAATTTAAATTAAAATCGTCCAAATACTAGAAATAGCAACAACAGTATAACATAATAAATGTAATTTTAATTGCATGTACTGTACCTCTTCCAGTACACTTATGACTTTATTGGTATTTACAAGCTCCTCATAGACTCTGTCTGTCGGTGATGCACCAATCTTTAGGAAATCACCAAACAATATTGGAGACTCCTCAAACTTATCAGCACTAACATCCTATTATAATCAGGAATGGGGTAATACTGTATAAAAGGAAATTTTGAAGGGAGTTAAATTTGGCGAATTGCTAAATTTTGGTGATTGGCAAAATTTCAGTTTGGCGAATTTGTGGCCATGTGCCACTGAGCATGCGCATAATGGCTCAAAATGGTGGATTTTTATTTTGGCAAATGGCTATTAAAATGCCAAATTTGCCAAATTTAACTACCTCCAAAATTTCTTTCTATACAATATGTAATAGTAACAATAATAGTAATAGTAATTAGATTACATTAAAACTGTAATAGTAATAGTAATAGAGATACAATCCACTGTAGTATTATAATAGTAATTGCAAACAGTATTTTTTACAAGTAATACAGTAATAGTAATATAATCCTTTTGCCTATAATTGACCCCAACCCTGATTACAATATCACAATATCATTTAACATGCAAAAATTTGTAAACAAAATAATTTTCATTTCCTCTTACTTTAGAGAAGTATTTTGAGGACATTTCTGACAATATTCCATAGAAATATTTCTTGTCCGTCTTGTCGATGAGCCTGTCATGGAAGACGCGCTGACACTCGTGACAAAAAAGTCTAAAAATGTGATCATGCTCTCTAATGACACCAGGATCAGCCTGTAGCACACCTGCAGTGAGAGAGAAATAATGAAGGAGTGACAAGGTTATACATGTAAGGAAAGAATTTAAGAGGAAGACTACAAAAAATACATTTTAGACAATGGTAATGGCACAAAATAAACGTACATGTATAAGTAAAATCATAACATGAATAATAATGTACATGTACCTTGTATACACTTGGAGAGATCTCTCAAATTGAATATGTAATGAGATTTTGCTGGAGTTGGTAACAGATCAGTGCTCATCCGGCCATATATCTCAACACTAAATAAAATAGGAGAGAGAGAGAGAGACAAAATGAAAGAGAGTAGTAAAGTGTAATAATGAGAGAATAATAAAACAATCCTTATGTACATGAACGTGTAGTTACATGTATGTACATGTACATGTACATATACAGTACATGTAAGTCTATTCATTTACCTACCTAGCATTAACAATAGCTTCTGCAGCATCTTTAACTGGCTGAGGAAACTCAGCAAAGAAACCAACAGTTATTGCCTGCAAAAAAATAATTATAAAGTTAGTTACAATCAAAATACATATAAACAAGCAAGATACATGCAACAAGAAGCCACCCAACATTGACTTACATGTAGGCCATTAAGCACGATTAAGCAGTTACAAGCTCAATAATACACGTGTACAAGCATATTGTTTTCATAGTAACATTACTGAAATTGTTTTGATAATTACATTAATCATCGCATACAGCAAAATCAGAAAAAAATGAAGGAGTCCCTTCTAAAGCTGCTGAGCCTAATACTGGCTTGTATTATCATTGATAAAGGAGAAGGATCTTATTGTAGGTCCATTCAATGTACTAATGCTGGATCATATCAACATGGTGGATTAGGACTGTATCTAAGAGTATGCTGTAATATTAGTAACTTAGGACAGTCTGTTACTATCAGAGACAGTTTTCATTTGCGACACATTGTCTGTCCTAAAGAACAGCCAAAGTCCTGTCCAAGTAACCAGAATGAAAATGTTAAAGAGCCACAATCATGCCAGGAGATTCTTGAAGCCAATCCTGAAGCAGTATCTGGAGATTACACTCTTGTGTATCCAAATGGCACTGCATATACAGTTTATTGTAAAATGGACACCACAGACTGTGGAGAAGGAGGATGGACAAGGATAGCTTACATCAACATGACTGAACCTGGAGCTACATGTCCTGATGAATTTGTCACTAAAGACTACA